GCAGTAGGCTTCAAGTCGGGTTCGTCCACTCCACAGAGGTCAGGCTCCACAGCTGGACTTCACAGGCCAAGGCTGAGCATCGACTCGGCGAGTCCTGCCATTGATCTTCCTCAGCTCAGCTCCTCTCTCCCAGGATCCCTGTCTGGTAGCACCCCCATACTCACTCCACGTCAGGGATCACACACCATGGACTTCTTTGAAATGTGTGCCAGTCTGATCACTACTCTTGCACGCTGAGGCCTCATGACATCACTGTATGTGGGCTGCTACGGGGGTTTAGGCCATTTGCAGATCTTGGATTTAGGAAAGGTAGAATTTGTGATGACATTTGCAGTTGGTTTAAGCTTTGCTGAAATGGAAGAGAGGGAACAGGGTTTCACTCAGAAAAGTGAAGCCCTGTGGCACAAAGGAAATGAATCACTGTATTTCTTGTTATGACACTGGTCTCTGGGCCACAGTTTATCCTGGCATTGACATGAGTTAAGAGAGTGTAATGGAGATCCAGTCTCTTGGTTCACAGCTCTGTTGGGAGTCAGCAAAGGTCATTTCTTCAAAAATATACCCTTATCCTATTATCACTGGCTACACCATCATCACCAACCACAACATCCTGCTGAGCATCTCCAACAATCTGATCTGAGGTTAGCTTAGCTTTGGGTCAGAAGTTATGTGTTATTCTTGTTAACCTTCATATATCACATGTAAAAAAAAATCAATCAGGTTTTTAATTATATGATTTGAATAGTGTATTGTTTATATTTATATTGTATGATGATATGTAGCTGAAGAGGTTGACAGAGATGCAGTATACCAAATACTACTGTATATGCATCAAAATGATCATTTAGATTTGTGTCCATATTTATTTTTAGAGGTTGTTTTTAGCCACTCTCTGTAGTCATACTGTGTTGCTTAAGTTTTATTTGAACAAATGAGTAGATCATACATTTATGCTCAATGGTACCGACTGTACCAACAGTTGATATGCGTTTTCACAAATCACACATGTTACTGTACTGGTGTTTTAAACACAGATGGGCTATTTTGTATTCAAAGACGTGCCTCTCTTCAACCAATGACAGGTCAGACATGAAATCTGCAGCTCAGCCATGTTTCAACACAGTATAGGACAAAGTCTTAGGGGGCTGACCGTGACCTTCAACTCTGACCCTTCAGAAATAAACACACCGTCTGTTACAGTTAGACTAATCAGCAAAAAAACAGTGTTTCTGGGCCACGTGGTGGAGAGGGGGTCGGGGGTGCTGTCACTTTAGACTAGAAGGTCATGGGTTTGAGTCACAGCAGTAACAACTCCTTGGGTGCACTTGAGGTTTATGTTAATTAGCCACCTTAAATTGACCATAGTTATAACAGTGACAGTGAACGGTTGTGTGGCTCCGTGATAGATCACAAACTGTCCACCGTGCCCTTGGCTGAACGCTCCCTGTTACTACATCAGCTTTCATTTCTGCTGTCATCGTGTTAGCAGTGATGAAAGGTTACCCTGCGTTTTACTCCTACTGTATACAGTAGATGCAGTATTGGTGTGTTCATTACAGGAAGATCCAGTGCATGTTGAATGGTGTGTATCTGCTGTGAGACAATATAAGCCAGAGAAGTCTTTCTCCACATGCCTTAAAGAATGCAACACAGTGCATTTACCTGTACACACACAGCTGTGTGTGCCTGTGTGTGTGTGTGTGTGATGAAGATCTGACAGCTTGAATTTCCACATGATTGTTTTTACAGACATAACACCGGTGTGTGTGTGTGTGTGTCGTTTGCTGAAGTCAGCACTTAAATGATCATCATTAGAACCATGTGGTGAGAATACACTGAACTGACAGTTCAATGAATCCTGTTTTTCCCCCTGGCTGTAAGGGCTGTACTTTTGGACCAAACCACATACTGTATTTCACCATCGCTCCAAAAATCATGCTCCAGGATCACACCACATAAACGGTTGGTGGTTCTGTTCTGTGGGTTGTTATTGATCAACAGCACTGCGGTGATGACAGTGTTCTAACAGTCTACCAATAGACGCGTGTCATAATAAATGTAAATAAGACAACACTGAAGAGAGAATGCAGGAGTTCACTCAACTGTTGTAAAGTTACAATCACACAGTTCATGTCTTATTTTCAGTATTTAGTGTCGCCGTGGTGACACAGCATTGTGAATGCTGAATTGTGTCACATCAACGTGATTGATTTGTTATCCTGCAGTAACGCGGTGTTGTCATCCTGTCTGGGGAAACTTCTGCCCCCTGCTGCACAATACTTGCAACATCGCACACAGAACGTAAACGACAGCCCATGTTCCTCTCAGTCTGCAATGTTACACGCTCTCGTCATGTCTTTGGACCTTGTTCTCTGTATAGTGAGCTGCTGTGGTCACATCTGGATAATTACCTATTCTCTCCTGTTGCTGCTGCTCTTGACGACAACACTCTCCTGTCACATGCGTTTGATTTCAAACTTCTCTGGTATACTGTACTAAACGTACACTGTCAGAAGGAAATACTGTAGAAGTCGGCCTTCACAACTGTATGCAACTATAGTAGCATGCTCGTCCTGTACTCTGTATCTGCAGCTGGAAACTCCCACCTCACTCTCTCTGTTATTGTACCAAAGTGAGTATTTTCATCAGCAATGATGTCTGTCTGTCTGTGATGGGGCTACTTTGATTATTGAAATCTTAATTATCCCCAATTTACATGTTCAGTATAACTGAGAGGGAATGTGTGTGTGTGTGTAAAACAGTCTCTGTCCAAGTGAGATTTGGATTTCTCTTGTTATGCACTGCATGATGTTGCTGATATGATTTGCACTTAAATGAATATTTATTAAAGAACAATAAACAAAAATTAACTTTGACAGTTTCTTTATGTTTTGCACAATTATTACACATTTGTTTTCAACTCGACCCGGGGACCCATTAGGATCAGGTGTGTGTGAGGACCAAGAGGACTTAAAACATTAAGAATGCCATGGTCTTAAGTTGGTTACAAATAAACATACACACACTTAAATACGACATCACGGATGGTTACCGAGTTTGACGTTTCCCACTGAGCTGTGATTATCATTCGATTTCCTCTCATCTCAATATTACAATAGTTCTTACAGGAGAAAATCCCATCAAAAAGGAGGCACACAAAAGTGACACCTGTCAATCATCAGGTGAAACCAAGACCATTGGTCATTACATCACAGCTGCTGCCTGTCCTAGAGCCTTTTTGTTGAACTTTGACCTCATCACTTCAATACTTTTCATACAAACCAACAAGCATTTAAATACACAATAATACAGTTAGTTACGTTAGCATGTCTGTACTCAATGGTACAGTGAGTAGAACAACGAAGTAGAAAAAGATGTTCATGTACAAAAAAAAAAAAAACAGTTATTAAACATTAACGCTCATTTTGCAGTTGAACTGGAGAAAACAGCAGTGATCAGATGGAAGTGAAGTTAACTGGTTAAAGATCATTGTCGAAGCTATAGGAATGTGCTAAAGAAACTAATTACATCATTAATTAAGAATAATTAACTGCTTACATACATAAAACGCTGAGTTCACTTACTCCCTTATATTATGTTTTATGTAAAGAGTCATTATTATTATTATTTAAAAAAGAAGCAAAACGTTTTTACTGGAAGGCAAATATATCATTGTCATACGCAGGTTGTTTTCTGTTATCTGGGGCTTTAGCTAATTATGAATATTTTCACATTTAAGGGGGGGGTGTACACAGCACAACTGTTGATATTTGAAGGAAATTCTTGGTCTTATTTTTGTCGCTTTGTTCATATACGTGTTTATTTTCGTTTTTTCGCTTCATTTATTTATGTTTGTCCTTGTTTGGCATCAGGAGCATCTTATTCCTTATCCCCTGTCAGACCGATTAGAAACAGCACTGAAACAGATCCATGACAATTTTTTTTTTTTTTTTGAAGATCCATTCCACTTGTATACCACCGTACTGATCCATAAACATGGTAATTTGACAGATACAGTCATAGTCAGGAGAAAGAAGCTTCACAGTAAAGTGTCCTGACAGAGGTCACAGACCACCGTGAACATCCTGTGTCCGCTGCCCGGCGGCTCTGTGATGTGCCGAGACAACAGAGAAGGAACATCATGTTAGTAAACAAAACACAAATCCCAACACATTCTAAAGACCAGGGGCAGAGAGAGTTTCCAGGTGGAAGTACATCATCCTTGTACCTTGTACTGTGATAGTTACTCTTCACCGAAGTCAGCGTACAGATCAGGAGGAGGTAGGATGATCATATCAGGGTTTTCGAATTCCACTTCCTGCCTTTCACTACCTTCAGACCTGAGGGTAAATATATTTGCTACTATTAGAAGTCACATGATTAGAAGTCACAGTATTTATCCAGTTTCACTTGTTAGTAAGACAGTGTGTGACCGTGTGTGTCTCTGTTTCCAGTAGACTAAATAAAAATGGTCCTGCTAAACCACCCATTCTAGCCAAAGGGAAGATGGGTCTGTCTGCAGGTTGCACCACATATTTGTCATTTTTCTTTCCTCATCTGCATGTTTTGCACCGCTCTACTCACTGAATAGGACCTTCCTTTCTGAGCACAGGACCTGGAAAATGGCAAAAATAGAAGAATTTCATGAAACCTGACAAAAAAAACCAACTTATTTATTCATGTTAAACACGTTATAATTTTCTGATTTCACTTACTAGTCTCCACCCCATTGTTACTGGAAAAAAAAACATTGAAATTAATACCTTTATGGTGTGAAACATACGTCTACCTGCTGTTAATTGTCTTTCTGTTCCAGAAATATACTGAATACATATTTAATTAATGACAATTTACCTTGAGTATTCATAATATATTGCAATTGTGATTTAATGTTTCTATATAAATACTACATGTACTCTATCCTTACCTGGGCGCTGGCTCAGAAGGTTTGGGAGAATAGAAAAATGTTGCTAACTTCTGAAGTGCTTCGTGTTTTGGTCTGAATAAATGACAAGAAAAGAAAAGAAAAAAGAAGAAAAAGAGACAGTCAAGAACACACTCCACATGTTTGTATCTGCATGGTGTTAAACAGAGAGAGAGACAGGTGAACTCACTGAACACAGGAGCCGTCTGCACTGATGTCACTGTGGCTGTGCTGGTGGATGATGCTCAGATCTTTGTTTCCTGAGACACAACGCAACACAATCTATTATTATTATTATTCGTCTACTTCCTGTTTTTATTTTCAAAAGTATTAGAGAGAGAGAGAGAGACAGGAGATGTTTCTGCATGACAAATTATAATTTTCTTATTCACATACTCTACCCATTGACCAGGGAGTTAAACCTAAAACCACCAGATGCTCTGTAGAGGAAGTGCAGGAAGCTTCCTGCAGCAGACCACGTCTTTAATACAATAATTCAGACTCACATCAAACATGGTGTCGTGGCCTGAGTCTGGTCTGAACCAGAAAAAGATAAATTACATATTTTTTTTCTGCACACTGAAAACTCAGTTGTGGTAACACTAACTAAATACAAAGTACAGTATTAATTACTCTACAATCTCACAAAGGGCTTGTTGATAGTCACCAACCCTAAGCCAATGATTACCCAACACTGAAACCTCTTCCTGTTTACAACCAACCAGGTAACCACATGTTTGTGAGCTTAGAAACTCTCTGTAAGATCTTTCATCTATTAAACAGAACTCTCAGGTTGACAGTGGATTATATCACAGCCTCGGCTGCAGCTGCTGATGGAGTTTCCAATGTGAACCGAATCATCAAAATTCTAAATCGCAGACTCAACCCTGCCCTGATTTCTTCTCTTGATGACCTGATCAGCGTAGCTACACTAAGTTCTGTTTTGACCAATGAGGAGAAGAAATTGTCTAGAAACTGTTGTTAGCTAAGGCTTATCCACCAAAATATTTTAGAAGAGAAAACATCCCAGAATCACAGACTGCACATTTAGACCGGGCCTTGACCGATGACTGATGTCACGGTAAGAGCTGACAAATGAAGTCATTTACCTGTAGGAAAACACACCATGACAGATGTGGAGCAATAAATCAGTCTGTTTATCTCATCACTTATCATCTGTAACTGACACACTTTACCATCAAGATAACACAGGAAAAAGGTAAACAAAGATGGCCGCCCAGCTGACTCGGCAGCTCTGTGTTTAACACAGGCTGAAAATCATTTGAAGATTAGCAACATTTCATTAAAATTAGTTATGTTTATAATCCAGTGATAGTTTTGCACTGACTGGTGTCTGTTGTTACCAAGTGTGAATATTAACAAGACAGAGATGTGTGATGTGTGGGTGTCATACCCATATCTGGCATGGAGACTGCTCTTGTGTGTCCACTGCAGAAGAAAAAGAAAAAATTGAGATGAGATTTAAGATAAAAAAATAATAGTATGGAGGAATCCAGATTAACTGTGACTTACACTGGATTGTATGGATCTGTAGTGTCATTGACAGGAGAGAGATTATCTTCATCATCACCGGTCCACTCTTCACTGTCATCTGTAACTGAAAGGGTTAAAAACAGAGCTGTCAAAATTAACACATTAATCGGGTTAACTATAACGATATTTCAATGTATTTTAACACATTGGCTGAATGGCGGCCATTGTGGCTCAAATACACAGCCATTACATATATGTTATTTGCACAGCATGTAGGAAAACTTTTTTTTCCAACAAACACTAACTTCTTATTTACTTTCCTGATCCAGCAAAAAACATTTTTCATATTTAGGAACGCTAATGTATCTGGAATCATGACTAATAATGCTTAATTACAATCACATTATTAAACTAAATGGTGATTAATCCACAGCTATCTTGTAATTAATCAGATTAAGAATTATAATAGTTTGACAGCCTTCGTTAAAACCATCAGCTGGATTTGTCAGATCAATATAAACACGTGGGATTATTGGAACTTACAACTTTCTGCTGACAGCGGGAAATGGTTCGACGCCCTGACAAAAAGAGGAAAGCATCACAGAAATAACATTTTTATTTTTTTTACCCCATCTGTGATCTGTGTGTCATTTGTAGTGGACCTGACCCACTGACCTGCTCCCCGTGCTCATCACCTCTCCCTCTGTCACCCCCGTGCTGGCCTTCCGGGTGATTGCAGCCTTCTTGCCCAGCTCTAACATCTCCTTGATGTCCAGCTCAACATGATCCACTGCCACGTATCCATCTGTGAAGAGGTGACAGAGACACTGTTGCAATTCACAGTCATTTATGGTAACAGCTTCCTGTTGTGTAATCAGGTTTGGTTTTTATTTAACCCACAGTTGTTGCTGCTGTCCCTGGCCAGCCATTTCCCTTTAGGACAGTTGGTTGTCCGGATGATGCTGATGATGTCACCGGTGTTGACGGGCAGGTCATTCTTGCGACCTTTATTTGTCACGGTCACCTTTGCCTGGTACATGGCCTCCTCCTGCCCTGTGATCTAACATAAAAAGATGAAGGGATGAGTCGGCACTTTCTGCTGTTGCTGAATTAGAAATGATCGGAGCGTTCGGTTGCAACAGAGAATTTCAAATATATTATATATTGTGCAGTTCATTGACACAGTTGTGTTTACAGAGATTCCACCTGAGGCCACACATGTTACTCATGTCAACTCTTTCACAGGAAGGAATGAATCCAGACTGGTTTGTACAGCGACACACGCACTCCACCCTCCACTGCCGCTCATTCACTTTCATACCTCTTCTTCTCCTTCTCCTCAATCAGAATAACATCACTCACGTTGAATTTCTTCTTCATCTCATTTTCCCTTTTTTCCTTCTCCTTCTGCTCCTTCTTCTCCCGCTCCTGTTTCTCCTTCAGCTCCTTCTTCTCCTTCTCCAAACGTTGCTTCTCCCTCTTTTTCAGCTCCTTTTCGTCCGGCCCTTCTACAACCACTTTCTTCTCACTTCTGCGGACGACAGACAGAGTCAAAGGTATCACCTTATTGTGGAGAGGGTTATTAATGAGGAGTGGGTCAGAAACACACGAGGCCTTACTTGGTGAACCTGCCCAGTTTGCCTTTTTCTTCACTCTATAATAAACAGCAAAAGATACAGTTAAAACATGCAAAACTACTTATGGAGAAAGAGATGTTTTTCAGTCCAAAACAACTTACAGCGTCTGCTGCGGCCTCAGCATAAGGATCTGTGTAAAAGACACAACAGAAGAAACAAGACAGAGTATAGAGAAACTGATTATGAACCATGAACGTGTTCAGCTGTGAGATATGGCTACACATGTGTAGTCTTTATGCAAGACTCCATTAAAAGCCATAGAGCAGGGGTCACCAACTATATATTTCTTTGGAGGGCTAGACCTTTCCTGGACAGACACCTGGATGGAGATTTAAATTAAATTAAAAAAAAATAAAAATAACATTATTATTTGATGTTTTCTGTCCTGAATGAAATCACAAATGTAAACTAAATGTGTGTGTGTGATACTTTTCCTTCTGGAAAAATACCTCAACATTTTGAATCTGGTAACAGGGTACTACCAGGGGCAGGTTAACCTAGGTTAGCTGTGGTGGACTGACAACTGACTACATAATACACCTTAAAATACCATGTAAAAC